AAAAGGGTGACATTTGAGGCCTCACTGAGCGGATAAATGGACGTTCTAAGAAAAGGACTTGCCATCCCATGGCTAGATAATCCAGTGGCCAAAAGCCTGATCCATGTGCTTCTAGAGTCACGGCCCCCTCGTTGGTCTTTATAGGTTTGCACAAGCCACAGGAAAGCAAGGGCCAAGGAGGGCCCCAAGTCAGGGCCCAGAGCCCCAGGCCCTCCTCACACACCCGGAGCCAGTTTCCCCCAGTTCAGAGTGGTGCCCTCGCCACCAGGCTCACGTATCACTGCCACCCCTCGTCCTCAGCACCCAGCCTCCGTGGAGCTTCCATAGATAACAAACTCCCCCACAGTCTTCTCTTTCACTCAAACTGCATGTTGCTCAGATTCTAAAAACTCTAAAGAGTGGGAAGGTGGCAGTAGTTTATTTCAGAAAATTGGCGTCCAAGGGCTGCCACATTCATCGCAATTCCAGGGTACAAAAAACATTTGGCATGAGACAAAAAACACCCTTAAACATGACTTGGTTCTAATTTCAAGACTCCTGGGCATCAAAATACAAAGGACTTTAGAAAAATACTCAGTAAGCCTGTGAATTTCCCTAGTTTCAAAAGACAATGTTCCCTTTCCAATGCTCTCTCTCGAAGAGAAGACCACTCCTTTTTCTAGCCCAAGAAGGGATGTTCTTTGGCCGGAATAAGTTTGAAACACATGGCAGCCTCACTTAAAGGTTTCCAGCTTTGGGTTCCAGGGGAGGAACAGAAAGATACTGATGCCGGTCTCTTGAATAAAATAACCTAGTAGAGTTCTTTCCCCCACGGATGGATGCAGCAGAAACCCCAACCCTGGCACAGGGTGAATTTATACTAAATAGTACACTACACATTTCTGGGATCCTTTCAGGAAGGACAGAACGCGTTAACAAATACTGCTCAGTATATTACAGAAGTGTCAACAACCTGACCTCTAGAAAGAGACTGCTGTGACAATATCCAGAAAGCCACGTATTCTGACAAAAGCCCACGGGGGGCGCATATGCTCAGCACCTAATGACTCCCCAGGTTCTGTTAAGCCATACTCAGGCTTGGAACCGCTTTTCTTCTTCAGTTTCTATGCTGCGGCTGCCACCCAGCGCACTAGCGGACTAGTTCACCAGGGGTACTGGGAGACGGCTCAGCACCGTCACTGTTCCTGCAGCCACTGTTCACAGGGCCTCACACAGACCAGTGGACAGGAGGACAACACACAACTTTAGAATTTCATGACCCAAGAAGAGCCGCGGGATTCCCCTATTCTGTGGCCGCCCCATGGCCCACGTGCCTGGGATATCTACCCAGCTGGCACGGAGCAACTGGGGAGGGGGGAAGATGAAATAAGGGTCCTCGCCGGCTTCCCATGCGATTCACAGGCAAGTCCGGGTTAACAGAAAGTAAAGGTCACTTCAGTGATGAGCGTCCCAGAAGCCTCCCCAGGGAAGGGATAATGCTGCCCCCCAGCCGGCTCCTACTAACAGCTCTGCCTGGGCTTTGGGGTGAGCACAGGCCGGGGCTTCCAGGACAGTCCTACTGATGCCTGCTGTGCGGGCACGACTGTTAACAGTCCCCAGCGTCACTCTCCAGTGTCACAGTTTGCATGCTAAATTATATGGTCCCCTAAATGGAGCTGAGTTCCTAGAGGGAATTTTGCTGGTTTTCGTGGGGCCATACCCATCCAAGTCTACCACTGGCCTCGGGACAGACCGAGTACAGATTCTCTCCATGTCTCTGTGTCCAGCGGTGGGAGAGGCACAGGATGCGGCAGTCGGAGCCCCTCTGCCTGGGTTAGCATCTCAGGCCCTCACACGTCACAGCAGTGAGACTGTGGACAAGCTCTTTAACATCCCCATTTGACACAAAAATGGGACTAAAAGTAATTGCTAAGAAGATTAACGAGTTAATATTTGTAATGTGCTTAGAACACAGGGGAAGCACTCTGCTAAGTGAAAAACCAATACGCAGTCTAGCTGTCTAACAGGTAAGTGAACTTCTATAGGAGGATGTGAGGCAGGGGAGGAAAGCCCTTCTGAAACAACTTTTAGACACCCTCCATGCTCAAGGACTTCTCCCGAGCACACCACCCCCGCCCCAAGCCCGCCCCACACAACCCTGAGCGGGGCTGCCTAGGAACAGGATGCCAGAGGGCCAGGGCAGCATAAAGGCTGCCAGGTGGTTTATGGTCCACTACACGACAGCCACAGTGAAACCAGCTCAAGCAGAACAAAGACAGGTATTCCAGGTTGCAGCTGGCTGTCAGAAGCCTTCAAACATCTCCCCCCGTTGTCTTAGGCCCTCAAATTGAAGAGAGCTCTTTGCCTCATCACATACTCGGCAACGGAAATAGCACATTTATGTATGTGATTCAGGACCTCAAAAGCGTCAGAGGCGTACTGATAACCACCAATATTAGATGAAATTCAGAGCAACCCACTCAAGATGAAAAGATCTCAGATATATAACTCACGTGTAAGATTCCATGTGATACATTAGAAAGAAATCTCCTTAATTCCTCAGAGAGACACCTCTCTACCACAAACAAAACAGGTGCTTGGGACAGTCGTGCAAAAGTGGGCTACACCACACCATCCCATGAAAACAAAAATTACCAATCATCTAGATATCTGACTTTGTGAAAGCATCAATTTACTCCTTTAAATTTTAGTGTATGGGCTTCCCTGGTGGCGCAGTGGTTGGGAGTCCACCTGCCGATGCAGGGGACACGGGTTCGTGCCCCAGTCCGGGAAGATCCCACATGCCGCGGAGCGGCTGGGCCCGTGAACCATGGCCGCTGAGCCTGCGCATCCGGAGCCTGTGCTCCGCAACGGGAGAGGCCACAACAGTGACAGGCCCGTGTACCGCAAAAAAAATTGTAGTGTTGTCACAGTTCTGCTTAATATCATTTGAACCTTTCAGGCCTGATTTGAACTCTCTCTTAAGATGATAAATTCCTGAAGAACATCACGTCTCCCAGACTGTGCACCCAGAGGGGATTCAGGATGGAGAATAACAGGATACTGGCCCCAGATAGCTGAGGTGCATATCAAAGGAATGATTTCAATATGCTCAAACTCTTGCAACTTCCCATACATAGAAAAGTGCTAAATTCATTAACCTGAGTTGTCTGGTTTTCTTTAATAGTAATCTTTTGATGTTCCATCTACCTGGGTTTTTTTTGTTTGGTTTTTGTTTTTGTTTGGCAAAAACTCCTCTATAGGGGGCTTCCCTGGTGGCACAGTGGTTAAGAATTCCCCTGCCAACGCAGGGAACACAAGTTCGAGCCCTAGTCCGGGAAGACTCCACATGCTGCAGAACTACTAAGCCCGTGCGCCACAACTACTGAGCCTGAGCTCTAGAGCCCGCGAGCCACAACTACTGAGCCCGCGCACCATAACTACTGAAGCCCGTGTGCCTAGAACCCATGCTCCGCAACAAAAGAAACCACTGCAATGAGAAGCTGTGCACCGCAACGAAGAGCAGCCCCCACTCACCACAACTAGAGAAACCCCACGGACAGCAACGAAGACCCAACGCAGCCAAAAATAAATAAATAATTTTATATTAAAAAAACCTCCTCTGTATCCTGGCTCCTCCCTTAACCCTTCAGAGCAGTCCCTCCGAGTGATCTGAGAGGCTGTGTCCCAGGCTTAAGTATTTTGAAAAGAACTGAGTCCTTGAAGCAGTCCAGGCTACGTACAGGGCACAGCACCACACACACTAAAGACGTGCAGGAGGCAGAACCAACGAAATGCTAGGTAATTTCACCAAGTGCTGATTTAAAAGTGGGCGGATCGCATGTGTAGGTACAGATGCATGCGTTTTTATGTGAATAGTGGTCTCAGATTCACTTCTCCATTATCTGTCTGGTGATCACCCAGGAGACGTGATACCTAAGGTCATAAAATCATGAATCAACAAAAAGGACGCAAGTGGAGGGCACTCCACAAAAACATGAACCACTCAGCCAGGGAGACAGAAGAACAAAAAGAGTAAGTCTTTGCTATGGCGGGGCCGGGGGCAAGAAACTTTTCCATCAACCTTCTTTTCAGGAGAGCTCAGACTCTCCCTCCCATTTTGTAACACTGATTTCCTTATACATGAAGAAAACCAAGGAGTCGTTTCCAGAGTTTTACTACCTAAAAGAGAAAACGTAAGAACCTCATCACTCATTTACTTTGACTTCATTAATTTAATAAAATTTCATTCAAAATAATGGAAGTGAGCAGGGAATAGAACAAACCTTAATCCAGACTGCACCATAGGGCCCCACTAGCTCCCATTTTAAAGAACCCGCTTTAGCAAGAAGGGGGTGGTCGCCATCCGAGGGCGCAACCTTCCGGCCGGTGGCAGCCGAGGTCCCCACGAGGTTGCGGTCACCAGCAATTCCTCCGCCGTCGCTTCAACAAGTCCCCTGTCTCGGCTCCAAAAGACCACACCCACCCCGGCTCTTCGGGGGTTTTCTCTCGCTTCGGAAGACTGCGCTTCATCCTCACCGGTGGGGACATTTACTCCTGCTCAGTCCCGCCATCTCACTCGGGGACCCGTGACACCTCCCTCATCCACGTCTCCGCGCGGTCGCGCCCCGACCCGGCGGCGCCCCCTCCCCAGCCCCAAACCGCTGGTCGCCCTGACTCTGCGCCTGCGCCGCTTCAGGGACCACCCGCCCGCCAGCCCCACCAGACCCGGGCCCCCGGGGGAGGCGACGGGAGGGGTCGGGCGCACAGCGCGCAAAGGGTTCTCCCGGGTCCTCCCCACGCGCGAGAATCGGTAACGCGGGGCGGGGGGAGTGAGGGCCGTCGGAGGAGCGGGGAGGGCTGGGACGACCCCGTCACCAGGGCGCGGACGCCTTCCGCACGGGGGCTCGTGCGGGTCCGTGAGGCCGCGGCTCTCGGCCCTCAGCCTTCAGGGCTTCCGCACACGGTCTCCCGGGCGCCTCGGTGCCGTTACCGCTCAGCCCCGCCCGGCCCGGCCCTACCTCCACGAGCAGCCCGAGCAGCAGCGCCGCCGCACTCCCGGCCAGGCGGCCCATGGCTGCGCGTCCTCCTGGTCGCAGGCGCGGGTCAGGAGCACGTCCCCTACGAGGGGGCCAGCCGGCTGGCGGGCGGGATCCCGGCCCGGAGTCACAGGGGTTCGGGCTGGCGGGCGGGGAGCCGGGCTGAGCCGCTAAGCCCTCGCCGCGCGCGCCCCCGGCTCGCGCGCCCCCGGCTCGCGCGCCCCCGGCTCAGCTACGGGGTGTCAGGGTCAGCCCCGCCGGAGTGCGCGCGCCAGGAGCTGGGAGATGAGTCGCGGAGGCTGGCGAATGGGAGAGGAGGGGCCAGCTGTTTCCTCCCTCCTAGGAGACCGCCCAGTCACCCCTGAATAGACCTGGTAAGGTTTTTAAAAGAAGCAAAGTCTCCGCGGAGTGAGGCTCGTTCCAGAGGGAGATACATGAACCCGTTGTGTGCCTCCAGGTTCTTCACCGTCCCTCCCATCCCTGCACACCGTGGGGCGGTGCACCCTCCCGACGTGTGACGGCAAGGACGGCCAAAGGATGAGGCAGACGGAGAATGGAAGAATCCCTGCGCTTCACCTCTCGCTTAGATGTGGTGCTTTCATGCCCGCATCCTCCTGTGCTGGCCCTGCCTGTACTCCCCGCACAATTGGCCCACATTGAAGCCCACCCTCCCACTAGTAAGTTTGCGATGTCCTTGCCTCTGCTGAACTGACTTTCTTCCCCCCCCACTACCTCGTACCTACCATGGTTTTTTCACAACATGGCTCAGATTCCATCTCATTTATACAGTTATTCAACAAGCATTTATTGAACTTGTAAGTTGTACCAGACCCTGAGCTGGAGAGCCAGTACATAGAGGGGGGCAAGAAAACTCTGCCTGGTGTCCAAAGGGAGAGATAGTCTCTTACACGAATAGGATGCAAAGTGCTGGGTGCGCACACCAGGAGGTACAGGATAATAAAGGACATGAACCTACCTGTGACTGGAGGTGAAGGGAGGAGTCAGGGAAATAGATGTTACCTAACGCATGTCCCAAACGCTTTCCAGACTTCAACATATTTACTCATCTGATGACTCTAAAACATGCACCACCAGACCACACCTGTTGGAACCAGAACTTGCAAGTCAAGCAGAAAAGAGGCTTGGTGGCCTTCATTGTCATGGTAATACAGTATCAGACAAGACCACCAAGGGTCCTGCCTGGGATTTTAGTAACTTTGACTTACTATTTTATTTTATTTATTTATTTATTTATTTTTTGCGGTACGTGGGCCTCTCACTGTTGTGGCTTCTCCCATTTCGGAGCACAGGCCCCGGACACGCAGGCTCAGCGGCCATGGCTCATGGGCCCAGCCGCTCCGCGGCACGTGGGATCCTCCCGGACCGGGGCACGAACCCGTGTCCCCTGCATCGGCAGGCGGACTCTCAACCACTGCGCCACCAGGGAAGCCCTGACTTACTATTTTAAATGCGGGCATTTTATTACTCTTTTAAGGGTAGAAGTTAACTTGTAGAAAACCAAACACAAGCTTTGTTGTGTAATAGAGATGCAAATTTTTTCCTCCAGTGGTGATGTAAATGATTTTATCTGGTAAAAATGCAAATGACCTCTGCCAGCTCAGAACATTAACCAGGTTTCTGCTTGATTTATCGATCTCATCCCAAGAGTTTCCTTTTCTGCTCTTTTTCGCTGGCTATGTACACATAGTCAGTTGCCTGCATTCTCCTTTGAAGCAGCCTTGTCATCCTCTGGTTCCCTCATTAATGGGTTGTTGACCTGAAACAAATAAGACTGCCAGTTATTTCTACGGCAAAGATGGGTTTATTTGGGATCCTTAACACAAGTTTGTGTGCCCAAAGCACAGTGAGGCCAAACAAACTAAAACGTCGGAGTTTGGAACAGAGAAAGGTCTATTGCAAGGCCATGCAATGAGATGAGGTGACTCATTCCCTGAAAAGCCTTGAGCTCCCCGAACGGTTTCCGCAAAGCATTTTTAAAGGCCAAGAGGGGGTGGGGGGTGGGGTCGCAGGGTAGATGATCAGCTTGTAAAGAATGCACGGCATAAACCAATTACAGTAAAGAATTGGCTTCTGGTGGGAATGGATGTTAGTGACACCTGAGGATTAGGAACAACAAGGTGTTAAAAAGTAAGTTGTTTAGGGCTTCCCTGGTGGCGCAGTGGTTAAGAATCCGCTCGCCGATGCAGGGGATAGGGGACCGAGCCCTGGTCGGGGAAGATCCCACATGCCGCAGACTAACTAAGCCCGTGCGCCACAACTACTGAGCCTGCGCTCTAGAGCCCATGAGCCACAACTACTGAGCCCACGTGCCACAACCACTGAAGCCCCCATGCCTAGAGCCCGTGCTCCACAATAAGAGAAGCCACCGCAATGAGAAGCCTGTGCACCGCAAGGAAGAGTAGCCCCTGCTCACGGCAACTAGAGAAAGCCCGCGCGCAGCAACGAAGACCCAACACAGCCAAATATAAATAAATTTTTTTAAGTTGTTTATTGCTTGGAGGTCCTGGACAGACCTCCACTCGTGGTCCTTAGATTTTCTTGCCAGTAAAATGGGGGTGTTACAAGGATTAGTGCAAGGGACTATGAGGTCTTGAGCCTTGTAATCTTCTATTATGGTCTTTATACCTTTAAGGGCTTCTTTACTTGTTGGACATTCGTTAAGAGGATTTGAGGGGTCACCTGGAGATTTTGCCCATAAGGAGGGTGGTAGCTGACTCAACAGGGACAAATGATTAGTGTTTCCAGAATCAGCTCTGGTACCATCAGAGATGGGACAAATAAAAGATGTCAAAGGGTCATTTAATTCATGTGGTGCGTTACTTTGATGACCACTGTCAATTTCTAGAATCATTTTCCCCTTTGGGGAGAGATAAATTCCAGGAGAAAAGGGTGTGTCTCTCTCAAAGGGCCTAAATAAAGCGGAATAGGTTCAGAGACAGGAACCTCTTGAGGTTCATTAGAGATCCCTACTGTTTGAACAGTTGTAGTCCTCTGATACAGGGGCTGCTTTATAGTAGTGGGGCTGAGCTCTGAGAGTGTGGCTCTGGGGTCAATTCGTACTGGAAGAGATTCATCCCCCATCTGGAGAAACGTTTCTCCCAGCCAATTAAGAGAGGGAATTGGGAAGAGCCCCGTCTACGGAGCCCCATCTTTGAGAATTAGGAGTACATTAGAAAGGCTGGTTAGAGGGCTGCAGGTACCTGAAGAGTTTGAATCTGTAACAATTTCTTTTCCAATGTCCTGGCTCTGTGCAATCACAGCAGCAACAAATAGGAAGGTTTTGGTTTTGTTTAGGGGCCTTCATTTGCTGGCGTTGAAGATTATGAATTTTAGCAGTCTTCCTTTGAGATGACTCATCTGGAGTGTGAGAGGGCTGGTTTGCCAGTCTAACCAAACCTGGAGTGGACATAGTTTCCCTTTCCATCCTGGTCCTTTGTACTAGAAGGGAAAGCTCCTGGTCTGGCCAATTAATAAGCATAGAGTTAAAAGCTACTCAGTGGAGTCAACATCTGGAAGACCAGACTTTTCTTTCTTTCTTTCTTTTTTAATTCTTTTTCAAATTCTTTTCCCATTTAGGTTGTTACACAATATTGAGCAGAGTTCCCTGTGCTATACAGTAGGTCCTTGTTGGTTATCCATTTTAAATATAGCAGTGTGTACATGTCAATCCCAAACTCCCAATCTATCCCCCGTCCTTTCCCCCCTGGTAACCATAAGTTTGTTCTCTACAGACATTTCTTTAAAAACAACCTGAACTCAATTATAATATTCATGAACAGGTTCATCAGACTTTTGTGCACAAGACTGAATTTTGTTCCAACCAACAGACTTTGGAAAAGCCCTAGGCATTGCTCAGTGAAGTCATCTAGCGATTGCCTGAGCTTGATTGTATAATAGATTAGCCTATTGTAGCCAAGAGGGTTGGCCTCCCAGCTGTAACTCTAGAGATCTTTCAGGATTTTCCCAGTTAGTGGTTTTCATCCAGTGCTGGGCCTGCCCTTCGCTGACAAGCACATGAACAAGAATAAGTCAGTGAAACCAGGCTGATACATTTGAACGACTGTATTGAATTCCTCAGTACATTTCTGAGGATCTGCATTACTCTGGGAAATTTCTGACTGGCTCACAGTTCAGCTTTAGTCCAGGGAGTGTAAGAAATTAGCCTTGGGATCCTCAGAAGGCTTAATATTAAAGGGACAGATTCTGATAGTTTCAGAGGAGAAGAGAGTTTCAGAGAAAAGTAAAAGTTTGGTGAGAGAATTAGTGTGAGGTAGCTGAGGGTATACAGGAGGCATAGGCAGCATAGAAGAGAAGGAGGAAGATGGTGCTGAAGGTGGAGTCTGAGCACAGGGGTTGAGAGAGACAGGACAGCCCAGGACGCAAACGCTGAGAAAAAGAGACCAGGAAGAAAGGCCTGCAACTTCAGGAGCCCTTTGATCATTTGTTTGCCCCAGTTAATCTTAAAATCTTATTTTGAAGAGAGACCACTGATAACCTTGGGAAGACTCAAAATACCAATCAAAATAAGCATTCCACTCAGTTCTGGGAAACTCTGATCTATTGTAGTCCAGTTTCGTTTTAAGGAAATTAAGGTTGGAGATTTCAAAAGTTTCCCATACTGGCCACTGATATTCTAAATTGCCTTTGGTCCCATCAGTCCATTTAGTTAGAAATGCACATGAAGAAGGGCCACGTTTTTTTTTTTTCAAATAGTGTGTGCATAACTAAGATTCAGCTTCAAGCCAATTGGAACATAGAATCTGAATTTTAATAACTTTTTAAAAAACATCTTTATTGGAGTATAATTGCTTTACAATGGTGTGTTAGTTTCTGCTGTATAACAAAGTGAATCGCTATACATATACATATCCCCATATCCCCTCCCTCTTGCATCTCCCTCCCACCCTCCCTATCCCACGCCTCTAGGTGGTCACAAAGCACCGAGCTGACCTCCCTGTGCTATGTGGCTGCTTCCCACTAGCTATCTATTTTACGTTTGGTAGTGTATATATGTCCATGCCACTCTCTTCACGTTGTCCCAGCTTACCCTTCCCCCTTCCCGTGTCCTCAAGTCCATTCTCTAGTATGCGTCTTTATTCCTGTCCTGCCTCTAGGTTCTTCAGAACCATTTTTTTTAACTTTTAGATTCCATATATATGTGTAAGCATACGGTATTTGTTTTTCTCTTTCTGACTTACTTCACTCTGTATGACTCTAGGTCCATTCACCTCACTACAAATAA